CAAAAGAAAACCCTAAAAGGTCTTGCAAAGTCGTTACCAAGATGAAATTTAATTTTACAGTAGTAAAAGTGTAAAATATCTAGCTAAATTGTATTAATTATTCTGGACTTAACTAGGTAAAGGCAATCATGGAGGACTACTTCTATTAGATGACTCAGTAGGAAAATCTTTACCATGCATGCATGTTTGATATGCTTCATCAAGCAACTTTTCTCATTGATCAAGATCTGTGATTAACCCTATTTTTGAAATCATTATCACAGTGTTTTAACCAACAATAAGAATATTGTTAAATTTCTACAATTACGAATACTTGAACTTACATTCTTAATATGATATCAGTTTTGTATTATAATATAGCGTGGATGTGAGGATGTGTCACGTATTATGATAAACTATAAGTTTATCCTTTTTAGGTTCAAAGATACGAGTATATTTATAATTTTGAGGGGACTTAATTTAACTTATCAATCAAGTTTTGTCCTCACAAATGTTAATTAAATAAGTAAACAATACTAGAAGAAGCAATCTTATATTAAATAAACAAAATATTTATATGTAACTAACATTTTTTTCCTGGATCAATCATTTAGTTAGACAAATGAAAAGGAAGAGCTTAGGAGTATGACGATAAAAGGATAATTAAACGAAGTTAGACTATTCCCTTACAAGGCGTCACGTATGGGCAGGTAGGGCTTTTGTCCCAACCAGATGATAGTGATATATGAGTTTGGTAAAACATTGATATTCTAGAAGGTATTTTTTTCCTAATATTTATCTGTTTGTACTTGAAGTTTATATATTTTGAGGGTAAAAGGCGGGGAGACGTGTCTGCAACTGTTAAAAATGCTATTAGACGCTGTAATGGTGTTCAGTGTTCACATATGTTGACTAGGGTGGGTGTGTAGACGCTTTACGAAATTTTAATTGTTTTGGTTGGAAAATAAGATTTACCTAAATATCCAAAACAAAACTGTAGAATTTAAGTATTTATTAATATTGATTTTAATTTGGATGTAGATGAAAGTTTTGTTTGTTTAGACTTAAAAGTACAATTCATCTAGATGGATCATCTGGATAATTTTGAAATTTTAGGCGTAATTCCATCTGGATGAATCAATTTGGAACATCTAGATGGAGATGGTTTTTCCAAAATTGTATAATATTTTTTTGAACAAATTGTATAATATCTATTAGACCCTTTATATAATGAGAGAATTTGCGAAATAGGCAAAATCAAGAACATAATTAAAAAATGACTATGAATTTGTTTGAATTAAGTGGATAACATTTACTCCTCAAATGATCTGGTTCTGTCCTTTATTGTAATAAGTTGTTGGTGAAGAAGAGAAATGAATGACGTTGACAGTAATATATGTGGCCAAAAGGAAGGTGAAGTGTTGGTAATTTAAAAAAGAAATACGTCATTACTAAATTTACCTTATACTGTGTTGTTTTTGACAGAAATGTAGACCAAAATAGAATTCTTTCCAAAATATATTATATTCCATTTATCAATCTCAATCATTCTATTCTTAAGATGAGTGCATGAAGGAGTTACTGCTTACCAGATTACGTGCATACTATTTTATTTCGGTTGTGCATATATTATTTTATCTCTATAACATAGTATATCACCCAAATTTTCCTTAGGAACTATACATATAAAACTAACCATAATAATTAAATAATGTACCCAAACCTCTACTTAGTAAATCTAAACCCTAATAAAGAAACCATAAACCCAAATAGAATGAAACAAAATAAATAATATAATACATATCAGTGAAATTATGAAATATTTATGATATGATAATTCAAAAGTGTTCTAATCCATATCACCAAAATAGTATATAAGACCGACCCCATACCAACCCTGCAATAATAAATCATTTAAAACCTCCAGCATAAACCTCTAAATACTTGACCTTAAACCATAATCACAAATGCTAAACTCAAATATAAACCCTCAATCCTAAACTCAAATATAACCTTAAATCCAAACAACAAATGTAGATCTGGTTAACGTAATTTGTGTGAAGTTTACACTTATGTGGATCTAGTTAAAAAAATGATAAAATTGAATTTTAAAGGATTAGTTTTGATCAATACGCATAAAATAAGATTCATATCAATGATACAATAACAAAAAAGTGATTTATGTTTATGCACTGTACAATCATATTTCTATTCTATGTTATATTAATAGAATAGAATACAACAAATAGTAAACATCATATATTCCATTTCATATGAATGGTATTTCCATTTTACATACATACGATCTATTCCACTTATATACACAATGCATAATTACAAATAAATGATAATATATTCACCGGATGGCTCAAATCCATTTTCGAACAATCTACTTGACAACCTAAATCTTACATTTGTAACCTGAAAAACAAAATCAAAAGATAAAGATGTTAGGATTCTTAAAATAGAAAGGTGTTAGGATCCATATAACAAAGTAAATGTAAAATAAATTGTAGAGTATAGCAATAATGTTGAATGGTAACCATGTAAGACGTAACGATATGCATAGCTCACGATCTTAAATCACACAAGGGAATATATACGAACCCCTGACAAATAATCATTAAACTCTACACGAAAATATAAAATATAATATATATTTTTACAAATCTGAAAATAATATTTCATATTTTATAATATTAAACTATACTGCATAAAAATAGAAATAGAATAGACTTATGATATCATAATAAATTATATTTCATTTACGTTTAACTTTACTATTTATCTTACAAAATCATATACACACACACTAATATATAACTCATATACAGACTGATACAAAATTCATATCAATAAAACATGAAACAACAATCGACACATAAAATATAAAATTTAGAAACTATAGTTCCAAACCAAATTGGATCTTCTTTTTCAAGCATCGAATGAAATATACCATGATAAATAGTAAATTATATATAAATAAACATGACATATAAGAGAAGTGTCTAATTTGAATGGAACACAATATGTTTTATTTCATAAAAATAGTATAGAAATAAACCTCTTGTTCATCTCCTTCCTCGTCTTCGAACTTGAAAAGTGAAACTTACAAGTTTTCACGTTTCGTCTTTACTGAATAACAAATTTCAGATTGGATAAATGGATGCAGGATACCACAAATTCGTCATTTTGACTTTAAATTTTAAAATCAGCAAATCCTTTGAATATCTTCTTATACAAGGTTCTCATAATCGGCATGCTCCTCCAAAAGCTATATGTGTACCTACAAGCTCAAAATTGCAGAAAAAGGAGAAAGAAACTATTGCACTTCTCTAATTATAATCTATTATAAATCTAGCAGGATGAAAGGTTTGTGATAAACAAATAGCCACATTCACTTGTTCCAATAAAGAATATTTGTTATATATTTATTGTTATTTTTCAGGTTGCACCAGTAAAGAGAAAGGGCACTATTGTATTATTATATATAATACATCACATATTGGTGTGAATTAGGGAAAATTGTTAGTGAGTGAATTATATTTTTTTGTGATATAGAGAGTAATTTACCTAATATAATTCACAAAAAACAAATCTAAACATACTATTATTTTTTTAACTTACAAAAAATGACAAAACCGTATTTCCCAAAAAAATGACAAAATCGCATTTTTCCGCCAAAACCGTAAAAACACGTTTTTCCGTCTAATCCGTTAAAAACGCATTTTACCGTTAAAATTGAAAAAACTGTGTTTTTCGCTAAAATCGAGGAAAACACGTTTTCTTGCCAAAATCGCAAAAATGCGTTTTCTTGCCAAAACAACAAATCATCTTTTTCGTCAAAACCGCAAAAATATGTTTTCCCTTTAAAACCGCAAAAACATGTTTTCCCTTCAAAACTGCAAAAATGTGTTTGCTCGCCAAAATCGCAAAAACGTGTTTTCCCGTCAAAAACACGTTTTCCCGTTAAATCCGCAAAACATGTTTTTCTTGTCAAAACTGCAAAAATGTGTGTTTCCGCGAAAACGTAAAAATGTTTCCCACCAAAAGTGCAGAAACGCATTTTTCAGCCTAAATCGCAAGAATACGTTTTCCCGCCAAAATTATAAAAGTTAATAGAGTTAAATAAATATCATACGTATGATTAAATCAAAACAATGGTATTTTGGTAATCTTTTTTACCAAACTCATCCGGATGTAAATGAAAAATAAAGGAACGAACATGAGTTCATCTAGATGCTCTATCTAGATGTACCATCTGGATAGATAAACAAACAATCTCAAAAATCTGGATGGACCATTTAGATGAATCATCTAGATAGATTAACTAGATGGATATGACTGATAGTGAAACAAACAACACCTAAGAAGTCTTCAGCTATCAAGTTGGTTGAGTAATAGATGAAGATCAAGAATTTGTCTAGGAGAAAACTTTTATATCATTTCCCATCCATTATAGTTTGTTTGAAATTTCGACTATATTTTTTATTTTTGCAACTCTAATAAAGAAGAATCCATATAGTTAAAGTAACCTTTTTTTTTCAACAACGCAGTAAAGTAAGCTACAATCCCAGTTAAAATTAATAAAACTGAGAGAAGATATTTTGTTGAATCAAACTTCATAAACTTTTACTGATATATGTAAAGTTAAGATCATTTTGTCAGAATTTTATAACACGGTAAAGGTGATGGTTTTTTTTTTTTTTAACACTGAATAATTATGCATTACAAAGGTGATGGTTTTGAACGGAAAAAATTTATAACGTTTCATGTTGAGATAATGAGATTTGATGGATAAAAGGGATTTTATGTAATATTATGGTGAATAATGTGAATGTGGGTAGTTATAGATTGATGTAAAATAAAATACTAAACAAAACAAAATAAAGAGCCCACCAGCCACTCCTTCAAACGTGTCCTACCAACTCTCTTCTAGAAGCAATTAGGCCCACCTTCCACCTCCAACCTTCTCTACCTCTGCTCTCTCCTCTCTCCTCTCTCCATAAAACCCTCACAACAACTTCAGAACACAAGAGCAGAGGAAGAAGAAGAAACCATGGGAAGATCTCCTTGCTGTGAGAAAGAACACATGAATAAAGGTGCTTGGACTAAAGAAGAAGACGAGAGGCTCGTCTCTTACATCAAATCTCACGGCGAAGGCTGTTGGCGTTCCCTCCCTAGAGCCGCAGGTCTTCTCCGTTGCGGCAAGAGCTGCCGTCTCCGGTGGATTAACTATCTTCGGCCTGATCTCAAAAGAGGAAACTTTACCCACGATGAAGATGAGCTTATCATCAAGCTTCATAGCCTCCTTGGCAACAAGTAAGGAACCCTTTTTTGTTTCATTCATATATGCTCTGTTTTTCTGAAGCTTATGCTCTGTTTTTTTAAGCTTCTGTTCTGTTTTTCTCATTAGGTGGTCTTTAATTGCGGCGAGGTTACCTGGAAGAACAGATAACGAGATCAAGAATTACTGGAACACGCATATAAAGAGGAAGCTTTTGAGTAAAGGGATTGATCCCAATACTCACAGATCAATCAATGCAGGGAGAGATCATGATTCGACGAAAAGAGAGGACCAAATTGTAAAAGATGTTGCTTTTGGGTGTCAGTTAGAGAAAACAGAAAAGTCCGAGGAGCAGAAGCTAAATAAAAACCAAAAGCAGAATCTTACCAATGGGTTAGTTTGCAAAGAAGAGAGGCTTGAATTGAATCTCGAGCTTAGGATCAGTCCACCATGGCAAAACAAGAATCATGATGATCAGACAAGAGAGAGATCTACCTATACTGCATCCCGTCTTTACGTGGAAAACGGGATGGACTCTAGTAGTGATACTGCAAAATGTCAAACAGAGGATAGCAGTAGCATTAGCCATTCTTCACTTGACATTAGTAGTATTAGCAGCGTTGGTTATGACTTCTTGGGTTTGAAAACGAGGTTTATGGATTTTCGGAGCTTGGAAATGGACTATACAAGAAAATGAAAAAATAAATTTGTAGATGTGAACATGTTAGACTCTTAATCTCGCTTTTACTTTATTAATTTCAATGTCATTTTCTAATCTTTGTACATAAACTTAAAAATATTATGATCAAATGTATCGTCTCATTTAAAAATGCAGTCAAATATTTCGAATTTTAATTCACTGGTTTTTTATTCAATAGAATTTGTTAATGCGTTTTGGAATTAACTTATGCTTATTTCTTGTGTTTAGTGATATTGCTTTCGGTTTACTTGTAACACAATGGTTTAAGAGAGGGAAGATGATAACTATACTAATAATCTCGGTCGCGCTCAAAATACTTTCTCAATCTCATGAGAACATGTACATTTAGACCTAGAGCTACCTGTGATATCGATAAAAGTGGTTAGATGGTACATGTTTCTATCCATTACATACTTTAAGTGATAAGTTATATTCGGATGATAACTTGTATGAGGATGAGAGGTGTGATAACGATTGAAATTGTTGGATAGTACATGTTTATATTCATCACATACTTTAAAGACTTTTCATTGATCACAATATGAGTTGGGTTATTTTTTAGCTGAATAAAAGTCACAAAATTAGTTTAGTGTAAATTTTACACACACTGATTCAATTGGGTAAGCAAAAACTCACTTAAGAACATCTCCATAATAAGAACATCTCCAAGAGGCCCTCAAACTCATAAATTTTAAGGTTTTTGACTCTCCAAAAAACCCTCAAATCCTCAAGTTTTAAGGGCGTGAATAGTGAAACCTCAAATTTGACGGTCCACTGTTCATACTCTCAAAACACTATTTATTTTCAGTTTGGTCTTTATATTTTTATATCTTACTTATAATTATATTTGTATTAATTTTCTTATCCTTTTATTCCTTATAACTATATATTATAAATATATTTGTCTGAAATATTCAAATATATCTTTTATATATAATTAATATATAAAATTTATAAGTATGCTAAAATAAAATAAAAGATAATATAAAAGAATAGTACTTAAATAGAACACTTTGGGTTGGTTGATCATATATGGAAACATTATGAAAATAACAACAGTGAGCAATTTTTATTTTATTTTTTATGAATTAATGTGTATTTTCTATTATTATGTTATGTATTTTGTTTTAATATAAATTGTATTTATACATATTATGTTTAATTTTTTAGAAGTTTAGGACAAAAGCATTGACAAGGAATACATAATACTAAAGCAACAAAAAGCAAAAGGTAAAAACAAGAAAATCCAGATCTAGAGCTCCCCTTGAAAGGATGCCCGAGGGATTCCCCCAACGCAGCTTCCTCCTCCTCCCAGGGATAGCAGCCGGCGATACTCTCCTACTAGATCCCAACGGCTAGCGCGTCCCTCCGACCATTCCTTCATAAACTCCCAGCGGGCGAATGCCCTAGTTCAATGCACTGCTACAGCATGATGAGAGGCTACATCTCGGAGTTGAGCGCGAAGTAACAGAACTTCCTCGTATAGGGGAACATGACGGCTCGCCGAGCTAACATCACCAGGGTACATCGGGGGATGAAAACAAGAAGAGACGACAGCTGGAGGAACTGCGGGAGCTGCTCGCGGCATGGGAATGGTAAAAGGATGTCTCCTCCCGTTCTTGGCCCTGAGATAATCATCGTATACCGACTGGACAGAAGCTTTAGGAACTTCACCTGAAACCAAAAAAACGACTAAGTAAAAGATATGAACCGCAAGAAGTCGATAAAGCTAGGGGATTCCTTACCCCAGACGCGGCTATGACGTAGGGAGGACGGGCTCACCAAAAAGGAAATCCATCGGAATCGCTTCGGGATGCTCAGAGCCAGCTTCGCCGAAACCTCACCAGAAAAGTCCACAGGCCTCGCCACGTCTACAAAATCGGACAACATAAATAAGGAGGCGACAAAGAAAGCCACAAAAAACTACTAGAAACTAACCGACGGAGCGCCAAAACAACGGGTAATCAGGGGACCCATCAAGCTTCATGAACATGTATCTCCTATCCCATGAATCACAGAAAGGAAAGCTGCCACGGACGCCGCATGGAGGCTCATTTACTAAAGCCTCTCCTTCTCGGGACCATATTTGATACATCTCCCTTCTATTTCGCAAAGGGACGAAGCTGTAGGAATACATGACTTCAGGAACCCCCAGTGGGATACCCTGAAGTTCTCCTAGCACCTGAATGGCAATCAACATACGCCACGACGACGGAGTCAGCTGCGAAGGGAAAAATCCAAAATAAGACGATACCTCCGCTACCAAGGAAGGAAATTTCCCATAAACCCGACTTCCAAGTAAGCCTCATAGAAGGCTGATATCACTCAAATATTTAACCCTAAGGAGTGAATTACTCTCTCAAATAAGAGGTTCAGTCGTAGTACTTAGGGATCAAATCCACAGAGACTATGGGTTACACAACAGTTTATTTAGTCTTTGAAATAAAGCTAGACAGCAGGTTTAAAACAATAACTTAAAAGGTGACCAAGCAATTGCTTGATAGGTTGATTTGTTTGTTAAGAAGAAAAGAAGGTAGCTAAACTTAGGTATTTTCTCAGGTATGACAAACATGCAAGTTATAAACGGTTTTTACTATTCATAGTTCTGAATTCAAACTCTTAAGGATTTGAAGAATTAACTCTTACTGGATATTAGATCAGAAATTATCGTTCGATGACCTTGAGTGAGTATCAATCGATTGTTCGATAGAAATATCGATCGATGACGTTATGCTATATCGGTCGACAAGACAATCGTCCCGTCGAACGATATTGCATCCAGCGAGTTCTAACAACAGGTTTGAAAGGTTCTCTAGTCTTTACTAAATAACCTAGACTCTAGGTAATTGCCAAGTTCTCACTTGTCCAAATTGATCCTAAAATCAGAGGTAAGGGTGATCAATCCTTAACATTAGTTTATGATAACTAGAGTGAGAACTATATTTTAAACACCCTAATAATGGTTACTTCAATGCATGAGTCAACCTTAATGAGAAACCTAAATCTAACAAGAGAGACTACTCAAACATATTTATGAGAGACAAAGTCATAATGGTTTGAATAATGCTTTAAGATAATAATAGCAAGGGAGACAGTAAACAAGTAAAGCAAGGGAGTTCAAGATCTTCTCTGGATTTGTAGTTCAGATCTCTCTCTCAATTCCTAAGCTCTTCTCAAAGTATCGCTAGATGCTTCTTCCAAAATTAGGTCTAAAAGGTCTCTGGCAAAGTCTACATAAACTAGTACAAAACCCTCTTAATATAGCCTAACAGGCGGCCAAGGACTTAAAGTGTAATTTATTAAAACTTTTGTGAAGCAATTAGAGCTTCTAATCTTCATTTATTCACTCGGAGGACTTTTGTATCGATCGATATAGAATGTCTTCTATCGATCGATGTGGGTGATCTTTTATCTGTCGATTGCTCTAAATGCACATCGGTCGATATCTTTAACACGTTTTGCTCATATCTTCAAAAAGTCTCCATTTTAGCTCCATACTAGCCATTTTACACCAGTGAGTACCTGAACCTGTAAAAGCTCTAACAAGACACCAGAAGTATCCTTTTGTTTCCAAAAACATATATAAATCATGGTTGAAAGTGGGTAAAATCCATGATATATCAAGGGCTATCTCACCAATGCCACCATCCAACACGCGTTCAAATCCTCCAGCACATCTCAATCCCACCGAGTCAGGAACCAAGTATTTCCTACGGATCCTGGCTAAATCTTCCTCCCTGATATTGGAACGAGGACCATCACCACCTACTTCATGAGGGAGGCGAAAAGGCCTGCGCCGTTGAGGAGCCCAAGGCGTTATCACATCATCTGCTCCAAGATCAGCCCTGGGCAATGTCATCGGGGAAGAAAACGGATCCGAAGAGACACCATGGGGCCTAACATGTCCCCTAACGCACGAAGATGAGAACAACGAAAGATTGACATGATTGTTCATCTTCTCAAAGCTGGAAGAAAGGTGTCCTAGGATCTCGGGTAACATCTCTAAACGAGAGGAGGCGGTAATATATACCTACGACGGAAACCCTTAGCCGACTCCAGAAGAGGAAAGAACGCTCCTTCATAAAAGCAGAAAATTCGAAAAAATGAAAAGGAGGGAGTGAGAATAAAAAGTTTCCTATTTTTCAACTTCAGCCAAAGAGGAAATAGCGGCGGACCAGGAAGATGCCATTGAACCGGAGCAAACGGCTAGGGCTTCCTCATCCCTTGACCGACAAGCGTACCAGGCCACGATCCCGCGTCATCAATTCCAAGAGGCTCAAGCCTCAGAGACTGAAACACCATTTTGCCAAGGGAAACTCAACTTACTTCAGGCTCCAAACACGGTTCCGGCCTAAACGAGGACCTGGAGGATAGGGCACCTAGAGCGATGTCTTACTTAAGAGGAATCTGCTGAGATAAAGCGACTACGGTCCACCTAGACACAGTTTATCCCTCGACTCCATTGATGAAATGGAATAAGGGGCAAACTGTTGGGAAAAAATATTCAGGCACCAGATTCCTACAGCCCCCGGGTTGGGCACCGGCCTCTAGAACCCTGTTCCGAAGGGACCCAGGGCCTGGATCCTGCACTCAGGTTCCCCGGGCCCGACCCCTGCTCCAAAAGCCGGCCCTTGAGTGAAATGGAAGTTCTCCAATTAAGGGAACTCTTCCATATTCGCCAATATAGAAGAGTTTAACCTAAATGCAAGCCGACATCTACATTTATATAAGGGGAACCCAAACCCTAGAATAAGGGATCAACACTTAGAGATTGAGAGACTAGACCTAGGCGGCTAGGATTAGGGTTCATACACCAACATTGTAGCCCCCTTCGAATATCTAATAATACCTCTATTTCTCTACTTGTTTTGTGCCTTGTTTCTCTAGATTTATCCTTGCCTCATATAAACATCCTCGCTTCTCTCGGTTCATACACGAACCTTCTTGTGTTCCGTAGTACTAAAACGATCCTACACAAAAATACCATAACAACAGCCACAACATCAAAATCTCAAGGAGCACGAAGTATGCTAGATACAATAAGGGGTCTGGCATGAAGACATGTAAAAAACAAAATCCACTACTGCTTTTTCAAGCTCACCAAAGATCATTATATCTATAACAAGAGGATTCATGGAGTCAAAGAATCCTCCACAAGCGGCAACTGAA